AGTTAGCTGTGGGGAGGCAGATGAAGTTCCTATGTGAGGGGGCGTGGGCTGGGAGACCTCTTTTAAGCCCCTGAGGTAAGTCTTCAGTGTTTCCTCTAGAATCTTAGAGGCTTATGTCTACCTCTGGTGTTCAGTCCCCAGTCTGAAGTTGGGAGGGGAGCCTGATGTACTTAGAGGTGGAAGACACTCAGTAAGCAAAATCCAAAGGAAAAACACCAGTTCCAGTTCCAGAAACTGGAGGAGGATGAGATCTCTCTGTTCAGGATAGACGGATAAAGGTTGATTTACAGACGGAGATGACTCAGAGGCTCCCCGAACATACTGAATTGTATTTCCTGAGTCTGGAAGGAGGGTGTGAGCTCCCAGGAAACGAGCTGTGAAGGGCTGTCACAGCCATGATGGTGGAGCAGGCAAAGGGCACCCCGTCAGGCCAGAGTCATAGCAGTCCTGAAAACAGCTGCCCAGACTGAACGAACATCCTGGAGGAAATGGAGCTTAGCTGCAGAGACCAAAGCTATTTGCCCTGGTGGTTGGTTTAGCCTTGGACGAGTCACCCAACATTTCTAGGCCAATTTTCTCATCTGTATAATGAGGAATTTGGAGTGGAAGCTCTCCATATGTCTTAAAGTTATCTTTTGGGGGTTAATAGTAATTAGATGACATTTGGCATTTTTTTCACTTAATCCACTCAACCTACGGAGTAGTTTCTCTTATTGTTTTCCTGAGGAGGAAATTGAGGCACAGAGAAGTCACAAGGCTAATAAGTGGCGGTCTGTCCCCAGAGCCATACATATCCTTAGCCTTTCTCTTATTCCTACTGAGCTGGCTAGCTGGGCACAAGCACCTGCCACTCTTTAGGCGGGGGCCTGTAGGCCTCTCACATCCTGCAGCACATGAGGTAAAGTGCTGAGGCGGCTCCAGGTGACTGGCCCGGGGCCTGAGCCACCCCAGGCCTCCCCCAGCAGCTCTGTGGGCTGAGCCATAGCTCACCCCACGTACGGGACCCTTGCTGTCTTTAGAAAAGACATTTCTAAGACTTCCATGATCCTCTAGAGAGGGGACTCCCGTCTTTCTCTGCCATATGTTTGAAAGGCAGTGACAAAATGGTGTGCCTTTAGCTAATCCAGGGAAAACTAAACAGCATTCTCAACCCTTTAACTCTAGGAGCCTCTGGAATCATGGGCGTCAAGACTATTTTAAAATGTGGGGGAGTGTGACATGGTTCATGTCCCCTCTAGGAACCAAAGGTGAGTTCCCTTGGTCCCACTGCTGTGATGCCTGAGGGCTTGGGAGAAGGGCAAGGGACCTGCAGGGTCAACACTATTTTATTGGCAGGGATTTGGGGACGTTATTTTACTGAGAGCTGATCTCAAAACAAGACAGGCAGTTGGGAATGTTTTTCTTCTGAGTACAGTTCTGTGCAGACTGGTCTTTAACTGCTACAAGCCTTTTTAAATAAGAACAATAAGAAAAACAGGAGCCAGCCTAACTTAAAGATCTAGGTTCTAAAATATTTTTAAGGAAACGCAGCTATTGCTTTAGAAGTCTAGTACAGGGACTTCCCTGGTGGCGCAGTGGTTAAGAACCCGCCTGCCAGTGCAGGGGACACGGGTTCGAGCCCTGGTCCGGGAAGATCCCCCATGACGCGGAGCAACTAACCCTGTGCGCCACAACTACTGAGCCTGCGCTCTAGAGCCTGCTTGCCCCAACTAGAGAAAGACAGCGTGCAGTAATGAAGACCCAACGCAGCCAAAAATAAGTAAAAAAAAAAAAAAAGCCTAGTACAGAGCGCCCTAGTGGAGCTGCACAGACTTGGAAGTCAGGTTTAAACCTTGACCACTACGTATTAAGCCAGAGCATGTCCCCTAACCTCTGTGAGCCCATGTCCTCATCTGTACAGTGACAAGCCCCACAGGCTTGTCTGGAGTGAGTGAGGTAATGCCCTCCATACATGGCTGGGCGCGCGGGCAGTGCTGCATATGTGGATGATGTGAGTAAAGTGAGGTATACTGACAAAAGTGGACTGAGCAGCGGGCACCTGGTACCATTTAAGGTGCGTCGCAAGTGCAGTGCTCTTATCCAGGGGGCAACTGCTGGACCCAGAATTTACAGATGTTAACTTTTTGAGCCTGAAGTTTGAAAAGCTATTAACTTAAAATCAGATTTTTCTTGCAGAGTGATTGCTGCATTTGAATATCTAAAACACTGAAAAAGAGGTGTGTAAGCACATGGTTGGGGCTTCACTGTGCCTGGGCTGGAAAGCACTCCCCTGTCATTGCTGGAGCAGTGCTTCCGACAGGAGAGGCCAGGAGCCTGTCCCTGTTTTATGAGTACAGTTGAGGTATGGAAGGAAAGGAGCATCTCTGAGGTGGTGTGGCCAGTTGGCTGCAGAACTGGAAAAAACCCACATTTCTTGATAACTCTGGTCACCACGTCCCAGGGCCATACTATAAAAATACTTTTGGAAGGTGAATTTAACAAAGGAAACAGTCAAGTTCTTGGCGTGTGGCTCTCTGGAGTGACTAGGTTTCACCTTTCAGAAGAGGTGGAGCTCAGTTATTTCACTGGGTGGTTCTGAGCTGCTAGGAGGGTTCCCTGCAGGCTGCTCTGGTGGAAGGGTAGTGTTGATATTAACAAAGCTTAGGAAACTAGAAAAACTGGTCCAAGGATTATTAGCTCAGTGGGATTTCTGGGTGAGACTCCTGAGTGTGTCTGCATGGAAACACCGGTCACTTTGTGATGCTGCTCTGAGCTCTCTGGTTGAGATGGCAGCCTGGTCATAAGCTACGTTAGATCTTTCTTACCATTTAGGTTCCCATGGAAAAGGGAGGTGGGAAGCTGGGTGCAGCAGTATCTAACCCAGAGTTGCTCAAACATTTTGCTTCAAGACTCCTTCACACTGTGAAAGATGATAGAGGACCCAAAGAGCTCTGGCTTATATGTAATTTGCCTACTGATACTTACCATCTTAGCAAAACTGGTCAACTTTAAAAGCTTTATTAATTCGTTTAAAAAGAATAAATCCATTACATATTAGCATAAATAACCATAACAGATATTTTTTCCAAAACAAGCCATTTTATTTATTTATATTTAAAATTTTTTTAATTTATTTTTGGCTGTGTTGGGTCTTTTTTTTTTTAACATCTTTATTAGAGTATAATTGCTTTACAATGGTGTGTCAGTTTCTGCTTTATAACAAAGTGAATCAGTTATACATATACATATGTTCCCATATGTCTTCCCTCTTGCATCTCCCAAAAGGCATTTTAATGAGGAGAGTGGGATTGCTTTGCATTTTTGCAAGCCTCTTCACTTCTGGATTCTCATGTCTCCTTCTGCATTCAGTCTGCTGCAATGTCACATATCATGCAGGCGCTGGAAAACTCCACTGTACACTTGTAAGGAATGAGTGGAAAAGGCAAATGACATCTCAGTATTGTGAAAATGTTTCAACTTCACAGATCCTTTGAAAGGGTCATAGGGAGTCCTGGTGTCCCCAGCCCATACTTTGAAAACCGTAATCTCGAAGATGGGAGAAAAATCCTACTGAAGGGTTTAGTGGGAGGGGGTTTGACCCTGATAACGTGACAGACCCCAAATTTGGCCCACTCCTCACAGAAAGCAAATTCCAAGAGAGTTCAACCAGATTTTTTTTTTAAACTGGATTATTTCTGATGTTCCTTCTAACTCTTTAATTCTGTGTGTGGCTTCACTTTAACTGAACAGAAACCAAGTGCCTACCATGTGCTAGTCCCCAGTGGATATCAGGATGGTCAAGGATCATCCTGCAATCAAGGAACTTCATGGTCACTTGATTTGAGGGGGCTGCCGAAGCGCAGGGCAAAGCGATTGCCAAGTCTCTTGATATGGCCTCAGGCATGCAGGTGAGGGGGTAAAGGGCCAATTCCCAGTCCCATCAAAGGGAGAGACCAGATGGTTCCCTTTAGTCCTTCCCTCTTGGACCAGCATGTTGGACGGTGCCCCATCCCACTCATTTGAAGTCCGACATTCAGCGTACCTGCCCTCTCAATTCTTGTTTACACTGAATTCCCCCATTACATGATTGCAGCATATGCTTCCTCCTTCGATACCTATTTCAGCAACTTTAGAATCCATTGCTGACCAGTCTGAATTGTGGATTTCACAGGTTCCCTCCAGGCCTCCGCCACACTGGCCCTCATCTCTCCTACTGCTACCCTGAGGCACCTCAGGCATGAGGGTCCCTCTCCTTTACCCTCAGGCTCTGACACCACACTTCTTTACGCTCCTCTTTGCCAGCTGAGCTTTTTAAAGTGCTCTTAACCCATCTTCCTTCTACCCTTACTGCTCAGTCCTTACTGTTCACTGGCTGCCAATGGTCTACCTACGCTATCCTGAAAAATACTTTATTCACCCCACTGTTCTCACCAGCCACTCCATTTCTCTCTTCATTCACAACCAAACTTATTGAATGAACAGCATATACCCACCCCTCCACGGCATCACTTTCTGTTCTGTAAACCTGTGTACACTCCTGTCCCCCTTACTCCTTGGTTTTTCCTTTTAACACATATTTGCATTCTCAGAATGTAAGCTCCACAGAAACAGGGATTTTAAAGCTTTATTTACTGCTACATCTCCAGCTCCTCCATCAGTGCCTGGCACACAGTGAGCCCTGAAATGTACGTTGACTCATCTTCCTCAATTGTACCATAAGCTCCCCGAGGGTGGGGCTTTGTTTTGCTCCTGTTACATCCTCAGTGCCTGGCACCTAGTAGGCACACAATACTTACTGAATTAGCAAAGAAATCCAGTTGTCAGGTAAATTTTGTGATTTTTATCTTTTTTTTTTTTTTTTGGCTGTGCCATGTGGCTTGTGGGATCTTAGTTCCTTGACCAGGGATCAAACCCGGGCCCCTGCAGTGGAAGTGCAGAGTCCTAACCACTGGACCACCAAGGAATTCCCTATGTGATTTTTTAAAAAACACTAATTTGGTAGATATCGTTTGCATACTATCTTTTGCATCTGTCCCTTCCTGCTGTTACCTCACACCTGGGCTTCGGCAGTAACCTTTAAAGCTCTGCAGCTGAAATCCGTCCTGCATGCTTGCACCAGATAACTTTCCCCAAAGATTTTGATATTGCTCCTCTGCTCAAGAACTTTCAATGCTTCCCTATTGTAGTTTCTAATGTATGAACAGGTGGTACTGCAAAGCTCATCTGTAAGCTGGCTGTTCAGAACAGTGGAACAAAGTTTCCCATCAGTGGCACATAACTGCTACTTACCTCAGATCACAAAAGTTTATGTCTATTTCTAAATATAGACTTTATAATCTAGCTACCATAACATAGCTCCAGTCATTGAATTGTAGTTTAGATAATTTAAAACAATGTTTCTAGAGGAAAATGTGCTCACAGTTTCATTTTTGGGAGCCAGGCCCACATCCTGGCCTGCAGGGGATTCTCCCTCAAAGCTAAAATAGATGATCCTTACGGCTGTGACAGCAGCTATCTAAATACACCCACCATTCACAGCTCTCTAAATTCCAATTCCATCATGAAGTCTTTATGATGAAATCCTTTCCCCATCATTCTAGCTGAAAGTGATAGCTCTCCTCTGAAGTCTAGGCTGCTTGACAGCTATTTTCTCTCTTGTATTGTCTTGTATCTTTTATTTCTCATGAGTGTGTCTTATCTCTAATGAGATTGAAAGCTCCTGGATGGGAAAAGCTCTATCCTATAGTCTGTGGCACATAATAAATAGTGAGTTCTCATTAAATGGCTACTTGAATAAATGAAGGAATTAATGCCTATTGCTTTCCAGAAGGCAGGCAAGTCAGGAGTCTGGTCTTCATAATGGCCAATTCTGTTCTACTTCTTCAAAGTATCCTACAGCCCTGATATCAGGAGGCTGCCTTGGGCATGTGTGCTTGAGTCTGCAACAGGAAATGGCCGAAAGCATGAATGAGTCAGTGGAAAATGACCTTGGTTTAACAGCATTAGTTACTGTTTATCACATGCCTATATGAGCCAGGTAATTTGCAAACATATCTCTAATCTTTACAACTATTCTGAGGAAACTGGGGCTCTGAGACATTGTGATGTGACTTTTCCAAATCTCGAAGCTTTTAAGAGATGGAGCCAGGATTCTAAAGCATCTGAACCAAAGTCTCTCTGATTCCAGAGCAGGTTGAGAAGATGATCTAGAGTGACCTGCCTCACTGGCTGGTCAGGGGAGGATGTGCTTGCCTGGGGAATACTCTGAGGCTTCTTTCTTCCCTTATATTTCCTAAAACTGTTGGATCAAAGGCGACCCCACTAACCTTTCCCAGACCAAGAAGCATTTTTTTCAGTGATCATATGAATAGCTCCCCTCCCAGCTAGTACCTTTGGATCCCAAGTCCATGTTCTTTTGTCATCACCAGGCTGATTCTCAGCTCCTGGAGAAAAAACTCAAAGTTTGAGTCAGACACTCCATGTGCTGTTCAAGGATCTTCCCTGCAACACTGTTTATAATAACAAGAAATTATAAACATGAATGCCTATCAACAGCAGAGTGGTTAAATACCACCATATGATGGAGTGCCAGTACCCCGCAGCTGTGAAATGACAGAAGGTTTAAGTATGTTGTTAAAGAGAAAAGGCAACTTACATACACATGTGATTGCACAGGCAAAGAAAATTCATTGAAGGACATTTATGCATTCAGAAAATATTTGTTAAGCATTTTAAGGTATCCAAGAAACTTATTAACAGGGGTTACCTGTGAGGAGTGGGTCTGAGGGAAAAACAGTAACTTGTGCTTTTTGGTAAGCTTCTGTACATTTAAAAAAACTCCACAATCAGTATTCTGTATAAAGTCAAGATAAAAAGAAGTTTGAGAAAACAAGTAGAAATATCCAACAGGTACTTGACTAGAAAGGGACAGGGCTGTACAGAACTTATAAGTAACAATTTTTTCCCCTGCAGTTCTACAAATGAGGATGGCGGTAGGCGCGTCCTACTTTTAGTGCAGGTAGGAACTTACTCTAAAACGGGGGAAAAAAAAAAACAACCTAGGGCTGATGATAAACCGAATACCGCTTAACTTCTGCGGCCCAGGTCTTCCTACCACGCGATCTGGAGAAGTATTATCTGTAGATGGTGTGCAACTGAAGCCGCGGGAGCTGCTGCTGTCGATCCCAGGGGTGCATCTTACACGCCGGGTCATTCATCTCCCAAGTTCTGCGTCAAGCTGGAAGAGACGCTGAATCTGGAACCACCCACCCAGCTTTACCAACGGGGCAACTCACGCTTCAAGAGGTCACAGGGCTGGGATGTGACTTCGCCCCAGCGCTGACGTCAAAGGCCACACTCCTAACACACTACGTCCCGGCTCCTGTCCTGTAAAACTCCGCAGCCTCCAGCCGCCTAGGCGTCCTGTCCACAGCCCCGGGACACGGTGGAGGGCCCGGTGCCAGCATCCCGGAGGCAGCGTCCAGACAGAAGGGAGCGAAGTGTCCGAGTCCCCAGTCCCGAGAAACCGGGAGCTCGGCCTAAGAGCCGCCCCGCTGGTCACTGCCTACCAGTCTTTCTCTCTCCGCAGCGCTTGCGAGTCTTGAAGATGAAGAAGCGAGTCCGTCCCGGGCCACGGCCGGGCTTCTCCGACACTCTCGGCTTCTTACAGTTAGGTTTCGACCGCAGCTCTGCTCTCCGAGACTTCCGGGCAGGGGGCCGCGGAGGGCTGGCGGCGGCGACGTTCACAGACGGGACGCAGGGAAGACCGGTCAGCGCCCGCGAGACCCTTCCAGGGCGCATGCGCAGTGCGTGAGCGCGGAGAGGGCGCGGCTGGCCGCGACCGCGGCTGCGCAGAGGCGGTGCCAGGCGCTGCGCCTGCGCAGTGGCGGGGCGGGGCGGGAAGGAGGGAGGTGGTGGCAGCGGCGGCGGCTGCTGAAGAGGAGGAGGAGGAGGGGGAGCGGAGGGAGGTGTTTCTGTCAGTTCCGGCTGTTTGTTCGGGAAGTGGATCCGCCGCTGCCGGAGCACCCCGGAGGGAGCTGCGGCTCGCGAGGCCAGCACCGACCCCGCCCGCTAGCGCTCGCCTCCCCCGCCCGCCATGGCCCGGGACTACGACCACCTCTTCAAGCTGCTCATTATCGGCGACAGCGGTAAGGGCCGCAGCGGCCGGAGGCGGCGTGGGCCCTGCCGGGCGCGGCCCGCAGGAGCCTCGGGGAGGACAGGCGGTCAGGGAGGTGCCGGCCCGCGCGGGGCGGGCGGGGCGGCCGGCGGCCCCAGGGGCGCGCGGAGAGGCTCCGGGCCGCGCCGAGGTGAGGCTGGGGTGCCGGGCTGCGGAGCAGGGTGCGCGAGGCTTGGGGCTGGGCGCCCGGTCCACTCGCCGCGCCGGTCCCTGCCTCACGTATGACCTTGGTCAAGTCGCGCGATCTCTGGAGTTGGAGGGACCTGGGTTCTAGTCCTGGGGCTACCAGCTTCCTCACTCTGACCTTGGGCGAGTTGTTTCGCCTTTCCGAGCCTCAGTTCCCTCATCTGAGAAGTGGGGACTTGCCTCGGTGGGTGGTGTGAGTATTGGATGAGATACAGCTGGAAAAGTGCTTAGTACTCGACCTGGCAGAAAGTGAGCTCCAGTTAGATGTTAGCTGTTGATGTGTTATCAGTAGCCTTTGTAAGCCTCGGTTTCTTCCTCTGTAAAATGGGCATATTCCCAGAACCTGCCTCATGGGATTCCTGTGAGGTTTAAATGAGGTAAGACAGGTAAAGCACTTTGTGCAGGGCCTGGTACATTCCTGCTGCATTATTACCTCTGTATGGTTCCATTTCCTCATCTGTAAAATGGAATAGTAATAGCATCTGCCTCACTGGGCTGATTGAGTATTCAATGAGATAATGCACACACAGTGTTCAAAACAGATCCGGGCACATAGTGAGTGCTCAGTGTGTGTTTGCTGTTACATACTGTCTGCTGCTAGACGGGTGTTGGAGGTGGGTTGGCCAACATTACAAAAGTGCTTTGACCATTTATACACTCCTGTAGAGTTCCTAGCTCCCTCTCCAGTGCCTAGTGCAGTGCCTTACACCCAGTAGATGCCTAATGTATACTTATTGAATGAATGAATGAATATCAAGTGTCTTAAGAAAAGATAGGCTGGTTTCTGAGAAAGAGTGGAGGTTTTTTTGTTTTTTTTTAACATTTATTTACTTATTTAGTCTGTGCCAGCTCTTAGTTGCGGTAGGTGGGCTCCTTAGTTGCAGCATGGGAACTCTTAGTTGCGGCATGTGTGTGGGCTCTAGTTCCCCGACCAGGGATTGAACCCTGGCCCCCTGCATTGGGAGCGTGGAGTCTTACCCACTGGACCACCAGGGAAGTCCCAGGGTGGAGGGTTTTAGAAGTGTTTGGAGTGTGGCAGGTAAGCAGGTTTATGGGGTGACCAAGGGGTCAGGGAGGCAGGCCCCAGGAGGTTTATGGGAGCATAGCTGAGGTGCTGGGATTTTATGATGGGGAGGGAGGCTTGGGAACGTGCCAGACTTATAGACCAGACCTGAGTTGAGTGTTGGCAGCAGTGTCATGTTACTGGAGGCAGGGGCCAGGTTGGTGGTGGAACACATGGATTGTTAAGGAAAGAGGGGACCAAATCAAAGGGGTTGTCAGACCCTGATGTGGGAGTGCTGTGACGGTGTCATAGCTGGACCAGGAAGGTGGGTGGGTCGTGGTCTCACCGTGGAGCCGGGTTGGGACGTGGCTGGTGGTTTGGATCAAGTGAAGGGTGGCTGAGGCTTCTGAGGCTGCTGGTGGAAGGGAGAAAAGTTAGGGGCTAACTAGGGAGATGAAGAGTAGCTGTGGCTGGGGGAGGAGTTAGAAAGGTGGAGGATGGATTCATTGTGGTTTGAATGAAAGAAAACCAGACAAGCTATGTAGCCTCGCTCTTGGAGATGGCCTCGGGCATTTCACGGGGTCCTGAGGCTTATGCCTTTCAGGTTTTGATTTCAGCCCTCACCTTGGTTCTGAGGGGCTGGCACCAGGGTGATTTCTCTCCTTTTGGAGTCAAAGTCAGGCTACCATGGTCAAGGTCTCTCTCCCTCTGCAAGACATCTGGGGCCTGTGTGTTGATATACAAAAATGAAAAGCATAAGCTTAGCCAGAAGATGCACCCTATTGGCTTTTCTCCCTGGTGAAACCCAGGGGATGGTTTTGGCCCCTTTCTCACTGTACATTTTGCATGGTGTATTGATTTTTCACTCAGAAGTTAGGGGTGGGAGAAGACTCACTGGGTCAAGATTTATGTGACCTGGTTCCTTGTTCAGTCCGAGCGTGTAGGACTACGTTGTGTAGAGGAGATGGATGTTTTACAGTTTAATTTCTCCTGACAGTGAGCTGATACTCAAAGCCCAATGCTTATGAGGCTGGGAGATGGTAGCCATGGAAGTTCAAACTAAGCTTTGGCAACTGAGCAAGGAGACTAACATCACACCCTCCCCTGAACCTGGCTCCTTATGTGATGCTTCCTTAAGGTTTTTCAAACGATTTCATAGACACTCTCATTTGATCCTTACACGTTGCCTGTGTGGTTTGTCAAATAAGGAAACTAAGGCTCAGGGTAGCTGACTGTCTTGCCCCAAGTCACACAGCTCTTCAGAGGCAAAGCCAGGAGTTAATGCACATGACGCTTTGTGAGCAGCTGGTGTGGGGCCTGGCACACAGTAGGCCCTCAATGAGTGTAAGTTTCTTTCTGTATAAATCTAGAGCTCTTCTTCCCACTCTGCCACATTGTACACGCTTCTGGAATACAACCCCTCAGCTTTTGCAGCTCTTGTTTGTGCCTAAGATTGTATACTCTCTCTTATGCTCTTCTGACATTGGCTCTGATTTGTAACAGCATTTCGTCCGATCCATGGGGCCAGCCAGACCCATCCTTAGAACCTGGAGGCCGCAGTGGCTGTTGAAGGTCTAATTGAAGCTTTCGACCTCACAGATGAGTGAACTGAGGCTCGGGGGTGCGGTGTGTGTGTGACCTGTCTGAGCCTATACAGGGAATTAGTTCCTGAGCCAGGATTAAACCTGAGAACACGTTACTCAAAGGTCTAAGGGTTTCCAACAGTCTAGAACCGAAGCAAAGAGGGATGAGGGAACTAGAGCCCAAGGGAGGAGCATGGCCAAGGGTGGGGGCTTCTATGGTGGCATTTTGAGGACCAGAGCATCTGTGTAGGGCAAGAGGAAGAAGGCAGGGGCAAGAAGGAGTTTGATGCAGGGAGAGCAGTGGTGACTGAGAGTGGGGGGTAAGGTTTTTGCAGAGAGAATCTGTCTCCCTGCTACCAAGAGGCATCAAGGGCCAGGGCCTGTGCTCTCTGCAGGGTTGAGGGTGATGGGGCTGGCCTGTCAGGGTGCGTGCTGGACATGGCCCTTGGAAAGCTGCTGGCTTCGGCTGTGGTGAAGGCAGATTGGTACCCATCACTTCCTCCCCTGGGCGGGTGCTGCAGGGTGGAAGGTAGCAGCGTGTGTTCCTAAGGTGGCTTCTTCAGGGGTATTTAGGAAACAGTGTTTCTCTGGGTGGGTTTCCCTTCCTTTCAGCGGGGAGAGCAAGGCCAGAGGTGGTTGCTGGCCTGAAGAAGCCATTGATGTGGTGACTGTAGTGGTTTTGAGCAGCTCTGCAGATGAACTTGGGGTGAATGAAGAGCACCCGGAGAGGCCAAGCTGGGGGGACGCTGCTGCTTCCCTGCTTCACGCAGAGAGCACCCCCCGCCCTTAGACGTATGTGCGTCAGATACCATTTAACTTAAAAAAAGGATGCTGCCGCCCCCCGAAAGTTTGACCACCACTGCTTGGGCTCCTTTTACTGCTGCAGCCGTAGCGTTGGGTAACATGGCTGTCTGTGATTGGCATTGGCTTAGTCATAAATTCACTAAACAGTGTTTTGTTGGCCCCTACTGAGTGCTGGGCCCAGCTTCCAGCCCCGTGAACGTGCAGGGCAAGTGGAGCGAGACCTCCTTCCTAGAGGAACTCATGGCCCAGTGGCCCAGACACAAGGTTTTTGCTGAGTAAGCGGGCCAGGAGGCTCCAGGAGGAAGCAAGGAGCCGGCAGGGCCGATGGGGTGTTGGCGCTGGGCAGAGCGCTGTGAGGGACTAGCCCAGGACTGGGGCTCTCCTCAGGCTGGGCAGGAAGCCTCGCAGAGGAAGTGGCCCCAGCGCGGCAGGCTGCGGCTGAGCGGTGGGGACCGGGGCTGCGGCACCTGTCTGCTCAGAGCTGTGCCCAGCCTGTCTTCAGGATGGTCAGACCCCGGTTCACTCCATGAGACAAGTTCTTCTGGGCATCGCTGGGCGACTCACCCACTTGGAGAGGTCCCCAGAGGAGATCGTCAGAGAGGACTGCCCAGAGAGGACGCCTGGGTCAGCTGGGAATGGGGCAGCGGCAGCTCCCTCTGAGTATCTGGTGAGCGCACGGGTTCCTCCCCACAGCCAGGCACACACACTCAAAGCTCGCTCTTAGCTGGGGGCGTAGGCGTGGGGTCTGAGACCCTGGGTTAAGATCTCCTCTTGTCTAGCTTTGATAGCACTGCTGCTAAGACTCTGACAGGTATGGGACACAGGCCACTTTGGGTTTTTTTGTTCCACTTCCCGAAGCAGATGCAAGAAGACCTCCCAAGCAGCATGTATTGGCAAGAGCCGTGGAGCTCCAGGGTGGACAGCCCTGGATTCAGATCCAGCTCCACGCCCCTGCCGAGGCCCCTAGACCAGCCGTGTAGCTTCTTGGAGCCTCTGATACCTCATCTTAATAGATGCAGCTGGACTTGCAGGAACATCCGAGTGCCGGCCGC